TGTACAGTAATTTATTTACTAACTAATATTCACATACTAAACTATTCAATGGAATATAAGGAAAAATGAACAAGTGATGTTGTAACATGGTGTAAAAGAATCACAACAATTCAGTGTGATTTATGTGTATCGAGTGATTATTTAGATTTAACTAATTGAGTCATTTAATAACATGATCAAATAAATAAGTTTATCTATCTATATATATATATATAATCTTATAATAATATGGAGTAATGTTAATTACACTACCATTTACTTATAAGATGATTGAGAATAATAATGACAAGCGATATAGTCAGTTAATCTACAGATTTATATTAATCTTAATAAGATGATTAAATCATCTCATTAAAGTTGACATTAGAATTAGAATTGGATTTCACTAAATGTAGTGTACACTATATCAGGTTAGACTATAGAAAATATCTATAGTTGTTTCAGAATATATATGGTTATATTATTAATAATACTTACCGGTAAACCGTTAACGTAGATTACAGCAACATATTCAAAACGAAATCAATATATCATTCATTAGCCAGTCATATTGACTACTAAGAAAGTAGGTATTTGAAAATAGTTCACTGATATTAATCAGATCATTACAAAACAATAAGGCAAACTTTAAACAGTTGACTCATTCTAGTTTTAGACCCATTAGGAATACGGACATTTAGCTATGACAGAGATTAGACCTAGGACTTCCACTTCTATCTGAGAGTACATTACGTTTTAGATTACTGAGTTGTAATCTATGAGTTTATATTCCTATCTCAAACTACTTCATAGTACCGTGATAACCACTTTGAGGTGATCATCATTCAGTACTGGGGAGTACAGTACGATATTAATCAATACAAAGAAGGGATCATTTAGTTTGTTGGCCGGGTACATGAGTATCACTCACACGTGAATTGTGAAGGCTAATAATAATATCAGGTACGGAATCCAGTCTCGTAATCTCGAAGTTGAGCATCTAGACAATTTTCTTATCCGGTCCAACGATATTTTGCTGAAAACTTCTCCTCGTACTGCTAATAGTGTGTTGCCTCCTCCTTGACTATGAGAAAGCATTTGACAGAGTGTATAGTGGAACCTTCTTCGACACTATAGTGTACCTGAGACCTTCAATGTCATTCGGAATTCATACGACAGACTACACTGCAAAGTCGTGAATGGAAAACAGCTGACAGACGTATTCCAAGTGAAGACCGGAGTCAGAAAAGGCTGCCTACTCTCCCTCTTTATCTTTCTTCTGATGGTCGATGTCATTATGAAGACCTCGACACCTGAAGGGAAGCACGGAACAAAAAGGATAGGTTGTATGCAAGTGGACAATTTGGACTTATCAGACCACCTACTTCCTTTTTTTCACACACACCAACAAATTCAAGTGAAGACAACCAATGTAACAGATGCCTCTACATCAGTAGGTTTTATAACTTGTGACCGTCGATTAAAGAGCAGTGACTTATCAATCGGACCAATGACGCGTAAACCCATATGAGCTGTCTAGATTCCTGATTGGTCCTGCTTCCTGCCTAGCCCAGCCTGTTAAGTCCAGAACACAAGTCTCAGCCTCTGAGATATTAACTATGTATTTCAAACATACTGAGTTTATATACCAATCAAACAGACCACAACGTACCATAAAATAGAAAATAACATTTGTACAAAATTTGGCCAAATGTGACTGGGAATGTGGGAGGTAGTGATTAATAGACGGAATAATTCACGAATGCAAAATCGTATAATAACAGTTCATAAGTCAAAATAAAGCTCATAATAAGAGAGACATGAATATAAATAGTTTAGTTAATTAACAACTATACGATAAAAATATACGCATAGTACTGGTCCATAATGGATCCTAAAAGTTACTATTCGTTATGCTTATCAGGACCTAACAGTAGGTCTTAACACACACAATAGAAGAGGCAAGATCCTCAAATACAACACAATGAACACCAACCCAATCAAATTTGATGGGGAAGCTCTGTAAGAGGTAGAAAGCTTTACTTACCTGAGCAGTATTATCATCGATGAACACGGAGGATTCAAAGCAGCCATAAAGACAAGGATTGACAAAGTAAGGGTAGCATTTTTACAATTGAATAAAATATAGAACTCAAAACAACTATCTGAAAGCCGACATCCAGTCAGAATCTTCAATACGAACGTCAAGACAACTCTATTGTACGGAAATAAAACTTGAAGAACTACTACAGTTTTCTACTCAAGATACTCAATATCCGTTGATCGGATATCATCAGCAACAACTTACTATGGGGGAGAACAAACCGACTCCTATGTGAATAGGAAAGGGAGTTAGAGGTGGGTAGGATATACATTGAGGAAACCACCAAACTACATCGCGAGGCAAGCGCTGACTTGGAATACTGAAGGGAAACGGAGAAGTGGAAGGCTGAAGAACACATTACGACGAGGATTGAAAGAAGACATCAAAAGGATGGATAGCAACTGTAAACAACTGAAAAGGATTGTCTAGGACAGAGTTGGACGGAGAATGCTGGTGAGTGGCCTATGCTCCTCGATGACGGCTAGCAGGCGTAAGTAAGTATGTAAGCAAGTAAGTAAGTGTTGAATGACTAAACGTAATCAGTAGAAAGTCTGTAATACAGTCATTTAAAGTTAATATCATAGTGTTATCAATTCTTGTGACTACATCGAGTGAAGGAAGCTTGAGTGTTTGTGATGACATTATCTTTTCCAAGGTTCCATATGCACTTGACTGATAAGTTTTTTTTATTTATACGCAAATGAATTGGATTATCTCCTAACGTTGCTCCACTGCCTAGCGGATTAGATCTTTGAGTCAAGGGGTGAGGGAGTGAGTCCCCACGAAGACCACCTGCTCTGCTTTTGGTTCTCGGGAAGTAATCCATTCCATGCAAAAATCTGATGATTTATGTGATGGAAATATATTTTGGTGCCCTAATGTACCAATGTTTGTGTGTTGAAATAAATAGTAATTGTTATTGCTGTCTTATGTAGTGTTGTCTTATATAATTGATTTTTATTCGCATTGGAAAAACGATCTTAATAAAATGCTTCTCTACTTGGACAATTTCATTAATTGTTACCGTAAATAACGATAATACCACTGTAAGAATCAGTTAAATTGTAAAATGTATGGTTCATTTATTTTTGTTTTATATCCAGTAAATACTGATATCGATGTAACGTATTTAGTGAAATAAGCAGTTATAACGCCTGCAAATTGTGACATTCGTTCATTGCTTATGATCATATAAATCTCAGTTGTGAACCATAACATATTTCAAGGATTTTATGATTTTCATATCCCGCTGAATGAGAACCGATCTCTTTAAACGTTGGTGAAGTTATAATTTATATTTATCAGTTCAAGATATTCGAACTAACTTTTTTACCTAACTGATATAAATACTCACCTAGAGTACTTTTTTATTCATCATATCTGAGCAATATAAATGTTAGATTGAATGAAATAGACATCATTAGACCAAGTGATTGAAAAGTATCGTGATCTTTTCAAAAATCCGATTTTCCCTGTTTGATTATGTCTTGAGGTTGCATGCTTGAATTTTCAAAGAGTTTCAAATTATAGGAAAGGAGCTATTCGTCGTTTTCTGGTTATCAGTGGTTTATCCCTCAAATGATAACTTTAAATTAACCAAACGTCCACAGACAATACAAGTAATTTTATCTGTTCAAACTTAACTAAAATTTCCATTTCAGCTTAAATTATTCATAGAACTTTTACTTCATGAAGTTACCGGGAAAAGATTAGTTTTTAAATAATGAATAACTAATTATAACAGTTGAGATCATGAGTCAATTGAAGCTAGACCACCCTGGAAAACCTGGAAGCATTGGACGGCCGTTTCGTCTTACTGTGGGAACCTTCAGCAGTGCGTGTCTACAATCCCGCTTTGTGAGATTCAAACCCAGGACCTATCAGTCCTGGGTTAATTACATTGAGTGAGATATTTTACAACGAAATGATGATCGAACGAAATTAAAATATGGACATCATAGTGGTAGTTTCTGATCTGTTACTAAACAAAATATCAGATACTATTGAAGTTTTAACTTCTGTCTACAGTTATTTGTTTAGTCAGGTAGGTTTCACGGCTTAGTTTAATGTCAGTCAATTAGTGATAATCAACACAGTACGTGGGATAAATTCATCTTTAACCAAGCTGCCATACTACATTATCACCAGAAAAATTAATACAATGAATACTAAGGAAGTTGAAATTATCTGGTAGTAATTATGGGAAGAAGGAATACGCATTGAGAACATGGTTTGAAGAAAAAAAACAGAGTGAAAAGGTATGGATGAAGGAATACTGGAACTCAATATCTATAAGAAGATAAAGAATAAATGCATCTGTGCCATGGTGGTCGATTTTGAGCAGTCTCACAACTTCTTCAACCATTAATCGCTGTTCTCGTATAGACTAAATAATCTACATCTTCCAACACGTCTTAAACCAGCGACCAGTGATTACATCGATTGATGTCAAATTTTCGGTAAAATTAGCTGAGGAATCGTTAAAAACCATATAGCACTAGACAGCTGTTGTGAGCCTAGTTTTGGAATGTTCAGTAATGTAAACCCTGACCTTCCTAGATTTCCAGATTGTTACCATTTGGATAGAATTCAAAAGTTCAAATTTCTCAAGGTAAACTTCTTCATGTTAAACCATGAATATTCTCATGGGATGAATCTATTACATGATTGAACTCCATCAAACATAAATTCACTAGAATGACAAGTGAGTCATTAATGAGTATACGATTATTACATAGTTGAGTAGACTTTGTAGATTAGTTCAGGAAGAAAATTGATTTCTTTTTTCCTAACAGATTAGTATCAGTGTTTTATGGTTTTCAAACAGTTCCTCAGTTGACTTTAGTTCATAAATAAATAAATAAACAAAAGAATAATTTATGTAATTTTACAAAGACTAAACCATTCAAAATGATACCTGAAAATCCATTATATAATTCATCATCATCGCATAATGTAAATATTTCAGTTAAAGATTTTCCAACTTCATCAGCAAATGATACAGATTTATTTAATTTCATATTATTTTTCGATGTTGATGAACGTGTAATTGGCTTATTCACAATGTTATTTACAGGTTCATTGTTTGATTCAATTGAATTTGTAATGTTTATTAAAGATAGTTCATTTTGTAATTCATTTATACAATTAAGATTTAGATTTTCAGCTGACAGAGAAAATTGATTATCATTTTCATTTGTATTTATTAATAATAATTCATTTTGTTTATTTATAAGTGAAAGGCAATTATCATCTTCGAATTGATAATGTGAGCAAGCATTTTCATTGTTTGTCTCCATCTCTCCAAAGTTGTTTGTTTTCAAGTCTAAGCTTGTTGATGAAATATTTTGTGCTTCTTCTAGATGTATTGATGTTGTAATATTAGTACTTAGATTTTGTTTATCTTCTTCATTATCATTCTTACTTTTAGTATATTCAATATCATGTAAGAATAGTGAGGATAAGTTATCTTCAAGTGAGAATAAACCACTTTCACTGTTACAGTGACGACGTCTGCATCGTTTACTGAAATAAGTTTCAATTGTATCCCATTTAGAATGTACAAAATGATCAGCTTCAACTATACTTGTTAAACTAGCATTTAATGAATTCGAATGGGAAAAAGTTTTTAATATAGGGTAATGACTACGTCTTCTAGCTTTTCGCTCTAATTGAGATTGTGCAAAAATATAATCCGTAAATGAACGTTGATGGACATTTCCAACAAGTTCAGCATCTGTATTAGTTTGACGAGATTTATACATAATAAAGTTCATTAGACGACTTAATCCCAATAATTGTGTTAAACTAAGTAAATTTGCAGAATTATGACTATTCGATGTTTCTGTAAAAATATCAGTTTTCGAAAAATCTTGCATATCTAAAATAAGACTATTCATAAATGATGTTTTTAATGATCTTTCATCAAGATCCATAGTTTGATGATTACTCTTGGACATCCAAGACGGAAATGATATATTATTCGATTCAGTATCCCAGTTTTGTTGAATGAATTCCTCACTGGTGTTTGATGAATATCCACAATTATTTAAGTCTCCAAGAGAACCAGTACAATTACTTCCCAAATTATACCATTGCCCAACAAGAGTTCCCATTTCATTAATAAATCAAATAGTATTGAATAACGAAAAATGTATACATGAAATGATTACATTGAAAATTGGAAGGTATCTTCATTATGAATAATATCCACAATCACAAACCTTCACAAGAAGTAGATTGAATTGAAATGACACAAATTTTAACAAATCATAATCCAATAAAAGTACTTTATTTTGATTGGTCACTTCTATTTATTATTCTAGATAGAATAATATAATTGGTCGAAATAATACATCCATTTAATCCAATCCCAAGTCGATACTAAATATAGTTCATTATTTGACCTTCAATGCATATGTCTGTCATACTATAATCTTAGTCGTGTTGTAATCATTAAACACATGTTAACTAGTACAAACTTATATTGAATAATTCCTCCCCCACCCTTTTGTTTTTTCCTACAGATGTTGAATTTATTTATTTTCAGTCGATTATAAATATGCTCATATAATAACTAATGTAAAGTACAAATGTGTAATTACCTTTTTGTTGTTGCATGTAGTTCTTCTAGAGTTACTGATGGTTCCAAGCATTGGGTAAAAGAGGAGAATTGGGCATGAGGTCGGTAACCCTATCACGTATAAGAAAATCTTGCTTAGAAGACACCAACCAGATTAAACAAATTAAACCATTTAAACTCTACTTTCAGAGATGAAGGGAGAACTATGACGCCTCAGAATGAAAACCGAGTCCCTTCGGAAGTTATAAGGCCGATGCCCCGTCTAACAACCAGGGCAACAATTTTTATAGGTATATGGAATGTCCGAACAATATAAGAGACCGGGAAGACCAGTCAAATAGCAACGGAAATGTGGATATACAACTTTGCAGTACTGGCAATCTGCGAAACTCATTGAACCCAAGCTGGACAACAAAGGCTGCTATACTCCCGTCATGAAGAGGACAATGCTCCACACACACTCAGGGAGTTGCTCTGATGCTGTCCAAACAAGTACGAAATGCACTTGTTGGATGGGAATCTCACGAATGCGGAATCATCAAAGCATCATTCAAAACAAAGGAGGGAATCACGATGAACGTTATCCAATGTTATGCACCCACCAATGATAGTAACGACGACATTAAAGATCAGTTCCATGAGAGGCTGCAATCAATCATAGAGAAGTGTTCAAGAAGGGAACTCACCATTTTGATGGGAGATCTAAACGCCAAAGTCGGAATAGACAACACTGGATCTGAAGATATCACGGGACGACATGGACTGATTAGGAGAAAGGAAAGAAAATAGGAAGAGATTTGCAAACCTATGTGCACTCAACAAATTGGTCATAGGCGGCAAAATATTTCCACACAAACGTATACACAATGCTAAATGGGTCTCATCGGACCACACCACGGAGAACCAGATAGATCATATTTGTATTACTAAAAAAATTAGAAGGTCAAAGGAAGATGTGAGAACCAGGAGAGGTGCTGACATAGCTCCAGATCACCACCAGCTGGCGGTTGCCAAGATGAAACTGTAACTAAAGAAGCATTGGACAATTGGGGAAACAGCATTACATAGGTCGAACACGGCCTTCCTTCAGCATACTGACAAACTCAACCAATTCATGATAAATCTCAACAACAGGTTCCAAGCCTTACATGATCTACTGAAAGAATAAAAAACTACTATGGAGGACAACTGGAAGAGGATCAAAGAAGCATTGACTTCAGCGTGTTAGGAGGTTCTGGGCCTCAAGAAGCATCATCATAAGGAATGGATCTCTATGGGAACCCTGGACAAGATGCATGAAAAGAAGAAGAAGAAGAAGACAGCAATTAACAACAGCTGAATAAGAACAGAGCAAGTCAAGTCAAAAGATGAGTACTCTGAGGCAAACAAGCAAGTAAAGAAGAGCATTAGAGCGGACAAGCAGAAATATGTGGAAGGGTTAGCAACGACAGCGAAAAAAGCTGCGAGAGAAGGAAATATGAGATAGCTATATGACAGGACGAAGAAACTAGCGAGGAGATATAGTAAACCAGAGAGACCGGTCAAGGACGAAGAAGGCAATCCAATCACTGACATTCAATGATGGACAAACAGATGTGTGGAATATTTGCGGAACTCTTAAATAAACCGAATCCATCGGATATCGAAGCAGCACTTACAGACCTTCTGTTACATGTCACTCCACCAACGATCGAAAAAGTCAGGCAAACCAAGAGTTGGAAAGCAGCAGGACCTGACCATATATCAGCCGAAGCACTGAAGTCAGACATCGAAGTAATCGCGAGTATGCTACACGTTCTATTCAGGAAGGTATGGTGGGAAGAGCATGTGCCACAGGTAGACTGGAAAAAAGGACACTTGATCAAGATACCAGAGAAAGATCTGAGAAAATGTGAGAACTACAGAGGCTTCACACAAATGTCAGTACCAGGAAAGGTGTTCAACAAAGTATTGTTGAACTGGATGAAAGACTCAGTGGTTGTCTACTCTCTCTCTCTTCTACTTTCTTCTGGGGGTCGACTGGCTTATGAAGACCTTGACATCTGAGGGAAAACACGGCATACAATGGACAGCTCAGAACCAGTTAGACGATTTGGACTTCACAGATGACCTAGCTCTCCTATTCCATTCACACGAACAAATGCAGATGAAGACAGATAGTGTAGCAGCAACCTCTACATCGGTAGGCATCAACACACACAAAGGAAAAAGCGATATCATGAAATATTAAACAATGAACACCAACCCAGTCACATTTGATGGGAATGCTCTGTAAGAGATAGAAAGCTTTACTTACCTGAGCAATAGTATCATCGATATACATGGAGGATCCAATGCGGACGTAAAGGCAAAGATTGGCAATTGAAGAACACATGCAACTGAAAACAACTATCTGAAAGCCAACATCTAGACAGAATCTTCAATACGAATGCCAACACAGTTCTACTACATGGAGGTGAACCTTGGAGAACTATCACAACCATTATAAAAAATGTACAAATATTTATAAACAGTCGTCTACGTAAGATATTGAATGTCCTTTGGCCTGATACCATCAGCAACAAACTACTGTGGGAGAGAACAAACCAGATTCTAACTGAAGACGGACTTAGTAAAAGACATTGTAGGTGGGTAGGACACATTGAAAAAATCATCGAACTGCATCACGAGACAAGCTGTAACTTGGAATGGTGAAAGGAAATGGAAAATAGAAAGACCAAGGAACACACTTTGCCGAAAATTGGAAGCATATATGAAAAGGATGTATAACAACTAGAAACAACTGAAAAGGATTTTCTAGGACACAGTTGGTTGGAGAATGCTGTTGTGTGAACTATGCTCCTCCACGAGGTGTAGCATGCGTAAGTAATTAAGTATGGATATTAAAACCAGATTTGTTGGTTCATTAAAATTAATAATTTTCTCTGATGCACTTGGATAATTATACTTAGTGACCCATTATATTTCCTTTATAAGAATTGTACATGTATGCCGTTTTCTTAGGATATCATTATAAGGCTCGGGTTTCGAAACATCAAAATATCACTTTATGACGCAAGTGAGAGTAGTTTGCTAAAACGTTTAGACTACCTATTTACTTTACAAGTGTTCTAATAAAAATTCTTATTTCAGAGCAGTTTCAATCGAATGAAAATGAATGGTATCTGTACTTTTCTAAAAACTCATACAATCTGTCTCACAGTTTTATGTTGGGAATCTCAAACGTAAACACTGAAATAGGTGGCAAGCTGCCCAATTTGTTCATCCTTTGAAGAGATTAGGTGAAACTACATTTAATGTGAGACATAAAATATACAATGGATAAAAATGGATATTGTAGCAACCGTAGAAAACGTCTACAACTAAAGATGAGTGGCTGAAATTGAACGTTAAATATCATTCACGAAATGTTGTTCTAAACAATTTGTTGCATTACTACATAATTACTGTTGAGAATTCGATAACAAAATTCACAGTACTAAATGAAATAAACATCATTATCTAGAATAGATGGATTATGGCTCATAGTGGGTTTCACTCCCTTTTTTGTTCATCAATTGATGAACCTGCATTTTCTTGCTGATGTTCACATTGAGACAGGAACCCTCTACCCTTCAAAATCAATGCATTATCCAATAACTTATCGAGTCCAGATAAAAACGAAATTGTTTGACGGGTAAGATGCTTATATCATCAACAGTAAGCATTTGGATTATACCGCGGTGGTTTTTGTATCATTATTATTATGGTGAATATGTAAGCTGCCTAAACAAACATTACCTGAGACAAATCAGTATATTTCTGACAAGAACTTTAAGACAATAGCGAAAAGTTGTTTCTAAAATGAATATTTAGCGTATCTCATTTTTTTGTTGCTATTTATTAAGGTATATTCTATGGATAAAGGCTCATACAAGTCAGTTCCTATCAGATAAATTCAATTTTTGGGATAGAATGAGAAAAGAGAGGAGAGTTGTGATTGATTTTTTTTGGTAATCTTACTGCTTCATTGATCAGTTAGTATAGTGATTTTCTGCTAATTGACGTGACCTTAAGAGGAAAAAAAGTGTGAACAGTTGTTTGAAAACATTTTGTTTAGTAGGATTACCTAAAATTTCTAGTATAATCTGAGAATCTTATGAATGTAGTTCTTAACATAAATTATCAAATCATTTGAACTCAGCATAAAATTAGATAACGGTTCCTATACGGTTCGGTACACTCTAGTTCTTCGAAATGTTTCTTCGTTTGTTTGTCGGCTATAGAATCAGTTGAAAGGAAATTAAGACACGATCTACATCACAAACAATGTTGTATAATCGCATCAGCGGTGAGACAACCAAAGAATCATAAACGGTACAGAAACACTTGTGATCAATCAATTCTTATGTAATTAACACTGTATATTGCCAAACAAGCGACCTATGAAAGTCGAATAATATGTCAGATTTGATCTGACTGATTAGTAGTTGGGTTGTCCTTAGCATTCAATAATTATATTTATTCCTAAATAGTATTTTAGTGTATATTGATACGGACCTTGATTAAAAGTGTGAATATGAGAATGACAAACTACCAGTAATGTGATTACTAATTAAATCAACGACTGACATTTCATACTTTATAGGACTCGCCAGCTAGATGTAACCACTGATGTTCACTTAAAACAA